AATATCGGCATATCGGATATCGGCCAAAATCCCAATATCGTGCATCCCTACTATATAAAGACTCAAACTCACTGCGGATCCAGACATTTGAATTGAGAAAGCTTCCTGGAGAGGTGGCGAAACGTCTTCAAATCTTGGAAACCAAGTTCAGTGAATTGTTTTTCAAACTTTTACGGAATTTTTGGCATTAGTTTTATTTGGAGGATTTGGGGGGAAAAAAAGGAAGAATGAAAGTTCTCATCCCTGCATCAGAGCGCTACCTGTTCGATCTGTGAACAGTTTTCCCTGCTTGCAACATAACTAGCAGCAGTAGTTCAGTTTGGAGATGCAATCCACTTCTTAAATCTCTCTTTGCTTTCCTGTAGTTTATTCAGAAGTTCTGCAATCTCCCTTTTTCGCTCTCTCAACATTGTGATAGGCTGCATATTTAGCATGCCTTTCCAAATTACTCTTTTTTATTTAATGACAACTTCTCATTACAAAGCAAACATGCTGGCAATCCTTCTGTATTGGTAATGAAAGCAGTGATTTGATCCCTTCTTCTTTAAATCATCTGCTCTCATCAGCTATCTTCCTTTTTTTCCATTTGGGATCTATGACCCGAGAGACACCCGCCAATTTGTCTATAACAGCCACCTGCCTGGCACTGCGCCGCGCTGAAACGTGTGCCAGGATATGATGCATTTTACATTTATATTTTAAATTTAAACAATAAACAAATATTAACACAAACTAACAAAATATATATTGTTTTCCATTTTCATGCATACTTCAAAAAGCTCCAGGGAGCCAAAAAGAGTGGCGCTAAAGAATCCTATGACCAACATTGAAGGTTCAAAACAATAAATGAAAATGTTTGATTCATAATGAATTGATTCAGCCTTCATGTTATCTATTGAAAGTCTTTCTCTCTCTAGCTTTTAAAAGCAGATATTCCATAGCTCCTCAGAGGAAATTTTTCTTTAAAATGGCATTGATGGTTTGTTCAGCCCCAGAGGGACTATGACTAATAGAGAAATAGTCAAAAAACCCTTTTAACCCTTTTATGCTAAGTTCTTTTTTTTCCTACTAAGTCCTCAATAAAAATCTGCCCTGCTGCAACGCTGACTGTCATAAAAACACAGTAGATTAGCTGCAATGGAAAATTGACTAAAAGTCAGTTTTTCTCTGCAGAACCATTTTCCTGCCAGCAACAAAGACCGCCTGCAAGATTTGAAATCAACAGTGGACCTTCTGACCAGCATCACATTCTTCAGGATGAAGGTAACCAACGATATTTGTGACATTTTCATGCTTTAGATCAGTGCTCTGCAACCTTTCAAGTCCAATAAGACATTTTAATCTAAGCTCAGCCGAATAAAAAATATTACATGGACTTAGACTCAACTTTATTAATCCCTTTGGGATTACTCCTTCAGGGAAATTCTGGTTCCAGTAGCTGATATAGAGTTCAAAGAATTAAAGCAAGATGCCATTAATGATACGACAGACACTATAAAAAGACCGCATAGAGTACAAAAAAGCATAAAAAAGAAAAAAAAATGTAATATCTTGGAATATCTTTTCCTTAGATATAAAAATATCTGCACAGTAGAGATAAGGGAAGAATACACAGTAGTTGACTTGGATTATTGACTCGTACTGCAGAGATATACTGACCATATAAATAAGTAAAAAAATTACACAGGCTATACAGTAGTTGGCATGTGTTACTGCACAGTGAGAGAGAAAAATATTGCCTGAGAAGCAATAGGTAATGTTTTGCATAAGATGTCCAAGGAGGGAGGTGCTG